ATCCAAAAGAGGAGAGAGATGAGAGGAGAAGAGCTCGAATATTGAAGAGGGAGGCTGGGTTGCTCCTAAGGAGTTCTAGATGTGATAGAGGTTAGGAAAATACCCTAACATCCATCCTTACCTTTAAATACGTTAAAAACCTTGAAATCTATGGGCTTAGGCTGCACAACGCTCACCTTGTGATAGCCTATTTGTCACCTCATAATAGCTCTCACATCGTGACAACATGCTTTTCATGTCGTGAGGACAAGGTTTCACCCGATTCTACTCCAACTTCAAACAATCATAACTTCTTCATTTCAACTCCCTTTTCAACGATCTTTATATGGACAGAAAGGTATTGACAAGCCCCACAACTCTACATAATTACTTTTGACTTAATATATGTCGAGCTAAAACCATACTTTGTAACAACCCGTTCTTTCGAGTCAATAAAAGTCAATGAAATTCACACTAGTTCAATCAAAGCTTATACTAGGTCAAACAAAGAGTTACATCTATTCATATCTAAGTTGAATACTTAGCTTAAATCATATTATATCTTAGTATAATGGTGGTTTTATTCCAAGGAATTTTAAATGAATGAAAGTTCTACCTTTGAAAACAGGTAAAAGCTTTAAACTTAAAGGAAATCATATTATATAATGTGAGTCTATATATATATATATATATATATACATATATATATATATATATATATATATATATATATATATATATATATAGAAATTGGTTTATGGAATCAAATTCCATACCCTAAAACCGAATTCTCTATAAGAAGTTGAAGCAATAACCAGTTTCCCTTATAGATACAAGGCTTGACCGAATTTTTCTTTCCCATTGACCCAAGAAACCGAATTCACATTCCATGTGTAAGGATTGGACCGAATTCTCCATTCCACATGGACTAGAAGCTGATTTCTCACTTGGTGCCCCACTTATGAACCAAATTTAAGGGGAATTCGGTCTTATAGGACAGAATTCTAAAAGTTAAGGCCTAATAAGGATCGAGCACCCCTATATATATATATATATATATATATATATATGTGTGTGTGTGTGTGTGTGTGTGTGTGTGTTAGGCCGATTTCCTAATTCATTTTCCACTTTTGCCACCGAACTCTTGCAAAATTTTCTTTCAAAAGTCCTAAGAAATTTACCCAGATCTTCATCCCATCTTCAAATCTTCAACCACATTCATCCAAACCACCTTCAAAGCTTCATATATTCATCAAATCTTCAAACACCCCTTCAAGAACACAAGAACACCGAGTTCATCCAATTTCCCCACCAAAAACTCCAATTCCAACGAAAACACTTTTCCCCGTTATTTCAAACATTTCCAAATTAATTTGGTAAGTCTTATTTACTTAATTAATTATTCAAAAAACTATTTAAATTAATTTATTATTAATTTAAATACAATGACGAATACAATTATTTTTAGGGTAACGTGTACGCTTACCCGGGGGCCGTTTCTACAACTCGATAATTTCCGTCGCTAACACACATTCAAGGTGAGTTCATATCCCTACATTTTTAACATTTTTAATATTTTTAGGGGGAAATACTAGTAAAACACAAGGTCTATTGTGTCATACAAATATTTTAAAAACCTTTGCAATTGTTTCAAAACGAGCTTACGCTACACTTCCTAAAAACATCTTATATATTTTAACCTTTTTTGTATTATGTCGAGCATAAGGGTAATTACTTATACAATTAAATTGTAGATGTTTTTATTTCACTACGAAACATACATTTAAACTATAGTCGGTATAGTTGGGATTCATTACACTATTTTACTAAGTACTATACACTAAACAAGGACGTACAATCAAAACTATAATAGGTATAGTTTGGGAAACGCTACTCTATTTCACTACTATAATGATACACTACTAAAATAATTATTTAAGCATAATTATTTTACACTACAAGGTAATACCTATAGTTTCAATTACAAGAGAACATTATAACACTACACGTAAACTAGTTAATATAGGGTTGTAAGGCATTACTTCGGGTACCCACCAGAGTACAGGTTCAAGTCCTATAAATTATACCCAAAGTCTCCCAGATGGAGAACGTGAGGTTTGTGTATAGATCTATACGGGACTGGCAATCCTACACCCAAACTACTAGCTACAGTTAAGCAGGCATGCCTGAGGGTGACAAATGTCATATTACCGACGCCTGAAGAACGTCGTAGAGGCCACTAGTTCATATTAGCATGGTTATATGAAACTCACAACAATATAACTAAAACATTTGTTTACGGGATTAACACTACTTTAATGGTTTTATTTTCATTAATAAAAATATGGTACACTACTTTACACTATAGTTGGTAATAACTAGACATTCATATATGATTTTCATGCAAACTCTAATATGGTACACTACTCAACTCTACAGTTGGTAAATATCAGGTTTTCATACTAAGGTTTTATACAAACACTATTACAGTACATTACTTTCACTAGAACTGGTGGTATCCAGGATTACATACAAGGATTTTTTTCATAAAAATACAGATACAATACACTGTTTTGTAACATAGAGTACACTAATATAATATACAATATACAAGAACATACATGACTACACTACTTTCACCATAGAAATATTGGATTTTCTTGAGAAACACACTAGTATTTTCAAAGTACAAAGACAAATTTTTCCAACACTAAATCATACTTATGAACTCACCAACTTAAATGTTGATACACTTTCAAAATCACTTGTATTCTCAGGAAAACGATAAGACATGTACACCCGTAGGATTTTGAGAAGACGGAGCTTCCAAACTCACGTCTTTTATATATTTTGTTATACATTTTGATGTCATACAAACTATGTGATGAACAAATATAAATACTCCATCTTATCAATGTAATGGTGATGTTTGCTTTGATTCCTATTATACAATTGTTGTGATACTATACATGACGTCCTTCGCTCCCAAACGTTTCCGCCGTTTCGGTTTGGGGGTGTGACATAATTCGTGCAAGAAACCCGAATATTACTTTTCCCATTTTACTCCTTTGCTTCAAAGCACAAATCGAGCGCTTAAATCACTTAATCCATCATTATCAACATCCGAAAGGATCTGAACTCTATTCTCTTGAAACCCATGACCTTTACTTAATCAATTTACGACCCGCTATCTCTCGTATTAAAAACATCCTAAAACTAGGTGTTACAACCAAAGAGGCTTCTAGAAGCCTTGGAGAAGGCCTCCAGAACCATCTCCTCATAGGAAGGTTTTAAAATGCTTCCTTGTTCAACTTTTGGAGAATTGCATTCTAACCCTTAGACCTATTAATTAATTCTAATTAATCTAGAATAATTAATTAAATAAACTATGATTAATTCTTAAATAATTATTTCCATTTCTAATTAATATATTAATAAATTATATATCTCTCAATATCAATCCAGGCCATTTCCTGGTTATGAGGGCAACCCAAAAAGAGCTTTACTAATATTCACTCAATATACCAATTTAGTTAAGACCTTAGACATCATAATCCAACATATATTTCCTATGACAGTCATCTTGTTGGCATAAAATGTTTTGATGCTATAATCATTAAGTTCCAACAGGGTCTCATAGAATTTCCAAAGCTAAAAGTAAGTCATAATCGATATGAAAATAATTAAATACCCACATCTGGTTTGAGATTTCTCAAGCAATAGATGAAAAGATTTTTTTTTCTCAAACCTTGTATGATATTTTTGTGATCGTATTTAACCAATTCTTTTACTTGTACTATGTTCCATTGTCCATACTTGATTGCTTTATAATCAACTGTCGCGTGATGTTAATTTATGTTTGAAAACTCCATATTTTGCATAACGGATGGGATACAATTTTGGCCACATGATCCTAGAACATGATGGAGTTACTCCCACCAGCACCACCAAAGGGAGACTTGCGATTAAAAAGGCAAACTTTATTGCAAGAGGTCGCATTTACTAATTTACTATTTGATTTTGGTCCATAGGATTCATCTAATTTGTCATTATTGATCGTTATTTTTTATAGCAACTTACGTTCACTGATTTTAGAGCAAATCGATCATCATATTAAGGATCGATTGTTACCGATGACATTGTCATCCAATATGTCAATCCAAGCATGTGGAAACGTGATTTCTTCCACTAAAGTCTAAGTTTGAGGGATATCAAGACCGTTCCAATTTATCTTTTTTTTGGATTTTATTTTCGGGTCAGGTTTTAGGCACATGTTCAGGTTAGGTTTTGGGTACATATTTAGGTGACACTTGGGACGTATAGCTTCCACCCGCATAATAGGAAGACTTTTGAGAAAAAGAGTTTAGGGCCATATAACAAATGTCAAGTTACTCAAAGAAAGCATGAAATTAAATTGTAGGATGTATGGTTGTGATAAAGATTCGAGACGAAAAGGATTTTTGTAAGTAGACGTGTTTGATCTTAGGCGAGATTTATTACGAGCCGATAATAGGGTTATGTAATTTAATGGATTTTGAGAGTCCATTGTAGATTAAATTAGAATTGAAAATAAAATGAAAAAGTTGGAGTTTGATTAGTATTTATGAGGTCTCTTTTTTTTTCTCTCTCTCTCTCTCTCTATATATATATATATATATATATATATATATATATATATATATATATATATATATATAGAGAGAGAGAGAGAGAGAGAAAGAAAGAGAGAGAGATAGAGATTCATGCATTTAAAATAATTATTATGTTATTGTATGTACCAACGTCGACCAATGTTTTAATTTTCTACATAATTTTGGCATAAATAGTCCATATGTTTTAATTTTATACATATTTAGTCTAAAAATATAACATTTTGACTATAGTGCCTTTCACCAATTTTTATACAAATTACACCCCAAATGAAATATTGAAGCTCCGCTTTGTTGCCAGCTAGCACCACAAGTTACATCGGACCCACGGGTGAGAAAGAGAGGTAGTTTGTCGACAAGTAGCCTAACTTAATGGACCAAAACGTAACAAATCTTATAGTACCTTCTGGAAGCCGCGTGTATAAGTTTTCAGTGTTTCAAGACAGAATTCCTTGTCAATGTCATCACTCCATTCCATTTCCTTCATTCCACCCTATCTCTTGCTCAGCGCTTCACAGATTTCCTACGTCTGATGTCTACAAGCATGAACATCATCAATTGGTATGTGATTATCTTTTTCTAAATTTTGATATAATTAGTTTTCATCGAGCCTCAGGTATTTGTTCTTTCTTTTTTTTTTTTTTATCGATTCGCTAACTCCATTTATTAGTTACTAGTTTCTTCGAGGATCATACTTATCTGTTGATTCGCTAGTGAACAAATTGACTTAATAAGTTGTTTATCTCGAAATCGCGTCCATGTGTGTATAGATAAAATTGCATGTTCGTTTGTCGTCGATTTCAATTTTCAAATCTGATTCTTTATATCATTGTTTGAATCGTTTAATTCATGTCTCAGTTTGTTTCATTTTGACCTAATATTCCTTTTTACACCAATGCTATGATATTATGTGAATTCATTTGATCGCGATAACAGTTCGTCCTGAAATAGTTTAAAGCGATTAAATCCGGTGAAGTATTTCTCCATCTATGTGCTAATCTTTTCTTCATGAATCATGATGTATTAACAATTACTTTTTACAACTTTTCCAGTTTCTCCTCATCATATTCAATTACTAAACCTTAATAACATCTTAAATTGCTCTGTGATTGCAGAATAATCTTGTTCTTCCTCTTCAGATTTTAAACAAAAAAATGTCAAGTGCCCGGAATACTCACTGGTGCTACCAATGCCTCGAACCAGTTCGTCTCCAAGGTCGCAATCCAATTTGCCCTTATTGCTCTGGAGGATTCGTTCAAGAACTGAATGAGGATTTCGGGTCTTTTCATGGACACGAAGCTTCTGATTACGGATTCTTGAACCCATTCCCAAACCCTAGAAACAGGATCATGGATTCCGGGTTCATAGATCCATTTCCAAACCCTAGAAACAGAATAATGGACGCCTTCGCTGAGTTGATTAGACAAAGAATGAGCGAGAGAAACCCCAACTTATTTGAGTTCTTTAATGGAGTTCCAGTGGATCCTAATGCTAGTAATATCTTAATGGGGACTGGTTTAGAAGATTTGATTCAACAGCTTATAGCTAATAATGGTAGACAGGGCCCACCTCCAGCAACCCAATCTGCAATTGACTCTTTGCCTGTTATTAGGATAACAAATAGGCACCTTCAAATGGAATCTCATTGTCCAATTTGTCAAGATAAGTTTGATTTGGGGTGTGAAGCTAGGATGATGCCATGTCATCATATCTACCATTCTGGTTGTATTGTACCTTGGTTACTTGAGCATAACTCTTGCCCTGTTTGCAGGCTCGAGCTTCCTCCTCAAGGTACTGGTATTATCAGTAACAGTAGCAGTAACAGTAGAAACACGCAGGACAATGACCAAAGTGATGGGAGGAGGAATCCGTTATCGTTTTTATGGCCTTTTCACTAAACTAAGAAAGTGATTATTGCTATGCAAGGTATTTCTATATGCGTATAACTAGTTGTGAAAGCTGTCTGCTATATGAGTTAATTTATATATAAAAAAAAGTTGAGTATAAAAGTTTAAACATTTGAGAAGTTTGAATTTACAAGGAAAAATGTTATGCAAGGTATTTCTATATGTTTATAAGTAGTTGTGAGACTTGTGTATTACACAAGGTTAATTAAAAAAAGTTAAATATAATGGTTTAAACATATAAGAAGTTTGTATTTGTAAGGAAAATTATGATGCAAAGTACTTCCATATGTTTATAAGTCGTTGTGAGATAGCATACTATACAAGTTTATTTAAAAAAAAGTTAAATATGAAAATTTAAATATTTGGGAAGTTTGAATTTATAAGGAAAATTATGATGCAAGGTATTTCTATATATTTATAAGTAGTTGTGAGAACTGCGTACTATATAAATTTATTTAAAAAAAAAGTTAAATATGAAGGTTTAAAATTTTGAGAAGTTTGAATTTATAAGGAAAATGAGAAAAATATTGAATTATTGAAATTAAAATATTTTGTTTTCTTTTAAATTTAAACAACAGAATAATTTAAAAAAAAGTTAAATATAATGGTTTAAACTATTAGAATGTAATCAACAAAGTTTACAAAATACGTGTGTTGTAATGGTATTTCGTGAATACAAACAAATAGTTTGGTATATATTTATGATGTTTTTTTAAAGAATGTTATTTTGTAAAAATCAAATAGTTTGCTATTAACCTTAAAAAATAATAATAACACGACTTTGTAACAAATTCTATAAAGAGATATGTGGAAGCTGATAATTTGTGTACAAGGAATAAAAAGAAAAATTAAAATGTCTCATGATGCTTGTTACCACATGTAACGACATATTGGGACAATGTAAATTACCATTTACCAAGCATGGATGTATGGATTCTCATATAGCACACAAACCCAACCACATGTTAAATGATGATAGTTTGTATGTAAATTCTATATTTGAATGACAAAGTTGAATCTCACTTAATAATTGATGTTTAATTGTAGAATATTTTTATTTATGAACAAATAATGAGCAGATTACAAAGATAATGAGCAGATTAAAAACTATTTAACAGTTATGTATTGTATTTAGTTGTTCTTTGTTTATACACTTTGTATACTATAAGGACTCATTTTAAACCGTACTCTTGTATCCATATACACACAACCCTAATTAAGAGGATTCCACATAATCCAACATAGTATTGTGTCGTCTGGTTCTGAAAAAACCCTTTTTTTTGGGACCGTCTCCAATAAGGCTTTACGTTCATCGACCTCTTCTCTTTGGCTGCTCACTTTGTTGTTATTGCTCCATCAATATTTGTCATCAAGCACCCCTACTATAACTTCTCCTACTCCCAGTAAACTTGTCTTTGCTCTCAACAATGTTATTTCACAGTTTAATTTCAAATTGTTCATTGATGGCTCAAAAGACAAATTATGGGGTCATATCTTTCTTAACATGTGCAAAGGTGCTAAAGTTCATGGACACATCATACACAAATCCTAACCTCAAGTTGATGATGATGAGGATTGGGCGGCCACTAACTCCATTATTAAATCTTGGTTTTATTCTACATGTGTGAAGGTTTGTATAGATCGGATACACTTCAAGTATAATAAACAAGAACAAACCAAGCAAATAAAGAACATAAATAGTAAAGAACACGAAATAATCAAAAGTTGTCTTTCACCAAGAAAGAGATTATTTTCACCAAGAAAATAGGTTGTCACAAAGACGGTCTCCAAGACGTTAACATTATGGTTTCATCCTAATGTTGAATATATACTAAACTATACTAGTATATACCTTCAATCAAGGGATTGTATCTAATCTATACTATGAATCGATCATTATCACCAAGATATCAGATCTGCTATCTATTATATATATATATATATATATATATATATATATATATATATATATATATAATTACCTAATATACAAATATCACATAAGATTACTATCTACACGCTGACACTGATAAGGCTTGAGGCGCTGATGTTGATACTGGCGCTGGCAGTCACCATATAGAGTGTTTGACTCATCAGATCATAATGTGTGACCTTACAATCTCCCCCTATCGGATGATGTCAAAACTAATCTTATTTAGAGGAGTCATCAAAAGAACCATTGTAGAATTTATCAGCTTCTATCAAGATTTCAGGCTTTACCCATCTGAAATCATCAGTGGGTGCAATGGGAAGATCATCAGTGCATTGAAAACACATGTAATTTTGACTGTCAAGATAAAAAAAAATACAATTTTCTAGTTCTCGAATAAACATGTGCTGAACTAGTTCAACACCTACTGACAGTTCATTGATGATGTAACGAGTGCCATATGGAAGAAGAAACTTAGTATTCTTGGACGTTTTGGGGGCGCCTGTTCTTCCTAAAATGGATGGTCTAGATGGACCAGCTGATGACACAAGATTCAACTTCTTGACTTTGTTGAGCAGCTATTGAATTGCTAATTTCACCTCTTAAGCATGAATACCTTTATGTTTGTCAATAATTTCCTGAATTTGTATCCACTCGTTGTAGCCAAATTTGACAAGCTCACGAGCAAGTATAACATAAGTGTATTCATACTCAGTCTTCTTTCTGACCAAGTGAAGCTCCAGTAACTCGTTCCTTGGTTTAGTACACCTTACCCTGATGATAGGATCATGCTTTAATCTATTATCCAAAACATATCCAAACTTCTTTCTGTTGATCCTATCATTCAGCTCTTAATCCTATGTTGTTTGTCCACATTATTGTTGAACAACTGAATATTCTTGTTTTGAACATTAGTGCTTTGAACATCAGCACTTTCATCAACGGAAGCAAGAGACTGAGAAAATTTAATGGACATACGTTGTCCTTTTCTAGCTCAAATAGCGGCATTATTCTCTATCATAATTTCTCTAACTTCCTCAACACAAATACCCCATTCTTCAGCTAAAACATTCAGATCAACAGTAAGCTGAAATTTCTTGGAAGGAGGAGGTGCCGAAGGATCACTAGTAGCAGAAGAGCTTCCAACTTCAGCATCATGAGATTCCTAGAGAAGGAATCCTTCCTCTTTCAACGATTGAGCTGATCATCATTAGACTCTATGTTTGTAACAACCCGTTATTTCAGGTCAATGTAATGTCAAAAAGTTGAGTCTTGTAACCTCTTTGTGAAGTAATAAGAATATCATCGAAAATGAAATGTTAAAAAAAAAAAGCCTCGTTTGAGTACACTATGTGGTAGATATTGTGATAAGGTTTCCAAAAATATAAAGAACACTAAAATCCGAGTTATAACGAAGGAGTTATGACCAATCAAAGATTCGTAACACTACCGGTAAAGCGTTGTTAAGCATAAAACGAGAAATTTCAATAAAATACTTTTTAGCCTTAGGTATCTAAATGAAAGTCGTAGATATCATTAACCCGCGAACATACATAAAAAGAACTCCCAAATCTGACTTCATATGAGGAAGTTATGATTTTTCGAAGTTTCGGACCTAGCAGTAGACAACTAAAAATGCGAATTAGAGATCGAGCGATTTTCAGCTAACACAACCTAAACGAAAGTTGAAGACCTCGACACTAGGAATACAACAGTAAAAAGACTGATGAAAATGGACATCAAATGAAGAATTTATGGAATTTAAACGAACTTTTCCTGACCCGACCTACTAAAAATAATATAATAAAAATAAAGTCAAAACTAGTCGACGAAGTCTAAACGAGAGTTGTAGAGAATTCTCACACATACGGGTGTATATAAAGAACGTCGAAATCGGAGCTCGTACGCAAAAGTTACGGATTTTACAAGTTCGGGACACAAAACCCGAGGCTAACTCAGCCTCACGACGTGAACAGTTCCATATTCACGACGTGAGACTGTGACTGATGGGTTCCAGTGTGTCAGCCACGTCAAATCGTTGAAGGGGATAGATCTGACTCAGCCTCACGACGTGAACAAGGCTATATTCACGACGTGAGACCCCAAAACCCTCCCTATAAATAGAAGCTTAAGGGTGCCGGGTTTAGTGCTCATTTCTTTCTATCTAAGTGTCGTTGCTATGCGTTTATACCTCTCGAAGCCTTCCTGAAGCCCCGGTTTTTATACTCAAGATTAGAAGGAAGTCTTACGCTCCCGAGGATCCCGAGAATTCAGCTTTCTCTAGTCGAAGTTCTGCTCGACTCTTTGTTTTAACTTCTTCAAGCTACCACTTCAATCAAGTGAGTTCATACCCCATTTTATACACCTTCAAATACTTTATAATTTACTTTTAATACATTTCGGGGGAGAATCCAAGTAAACACACGGTTGATCCCGAGTAAAAACTCTTGTTATACTTTGCATGCATTAGATTTATACAAAATGCATAGTATCCAGGGTAGCCATCCTTGTTAAACCATTTTATGCATTCAAAGAACTTATGATTTATGCTTTGTCAAACATTGTGAAAGAGGATAAACATTGCATACAAACTATTATTTTAATACAGACTTAGTTGAGAATCCGTGAGACGATTACATCTTCAATGCTACCTTTTTGTTAAAAGGTACTACCTAAAGTCCTGTCTCTTATAACCAGAGTCTCCCATTTGGAGAGCGTGTCAAATGTGTATAGATCTATATGGGAAGTCATGATCCCGCGCCCTGACTGTTAGCTACAAATCCTTTGGGTGACAGTTTTTCATAACGTTTCGACGCCTGAAGATCGTCGCCAGAGGCATATTATGTTTAGTATGGTTATAAAACTCACCGGATGGATAATTATTATGGTATTCTGCTTTTATGAATGAGTAGCTATTAAAACTATTCTTCATCTAACAAGTGTGATCTTCTTATAGCTTTAAATATATAAAAATATGCCTCAACCTTTTAAGCATGTCAGTTGCTTGCGATTTCCGGTCTTGGACATTAGAGACTGCCCGTTACTTTAGGAAAATAAGGGATTTTCTTGTATCCAAAACAATCAACTAATAGGAAAATAAGGGATTTTCCTAGTACAACCATTTACATTTCATAACACAAACATTCATATGCATTTCATACTTTTATAAGGGGATAAGGGATTTTCTTGGAAAACACACGAACTTTGGAATGGTATACATTTTCTCAAAACCGCTTATGAACTCACCAACTTGATTGTTGACACTTTTCTTTGAAATAACTTGTATTCTCAAGGAACCGCTAAGCAGGTTTGGAAACAAACTTTTGGGGATTAACGCTCTGGCGTTAATTACTTCTTTTGAAAGATGTTTATGTATTTATCTTTTGAACATGTAACAAATACAATTATGTAAACATTTTGAAACCTATATATATATATATATATATATATATATATGTGGTGGTGTGTACTTTCCTTACTATGAACTGTTATGATACTGAATATGACGTCCTCCGCCCCGAACGTTTCCACCGTTCTGGTTTGGGGGTATGATAGATTGGTATCAGTTCATTGTTTATAGTGAATTAAGT